GGATTACATCCAATCCCACCCTTAGCTCCACCATATGGAATATCTGCCACCGCACTCTTCCAGGTCATCAGTTGAGCAAGGGCATTTACCTCATCGGGGTCAACCTTTTATACGTGAAGAGAAGACATCTCAGCATACCAGTTACATATCATAATTCATAACTAAATAAACAACGATAGGAAGCAGAAGCACGGACACAATATTTGACAAGATCTGAAAAACCTTAAAAGCAGCATTGGTACATAAACTAAGCAAATATTAGAATGTATTAACTAAGAACACCAATGATTTCACTGAACACTAACCAAGTTTGGATGATAATAAAATCAATTGTTCACGTAATCCTTTCAAAACCCATAAAATTTACACAAAACTATTGAGCAATTCCAATTAATCAATTCATAATAGTCTATTGATCTGCGATTAATTACTATTGCAAAACTTGGACAAATTGAAGACTTTTCAACATTCTCGTGAACCTAAATCCAACAAAAATCATCCAAAACATATAGCAGAAGATGCAGTGGTTTGTTTAGCTGCAAGGCATATAATCTAGATTACGATCCAAAGAACGCAGAAACAAATTCTTTTAAAATGACTAGTGTAGAGTATCGATTCAGTAGGTAACACAGCATCAAGTCCTCAGAACTATACTAAGGAGACAGTTAATGGACTAAATAGTATATTCTAGATGACAGCAAAGTCCATGAGTGTATGATGAGAATGCAGATTCACTTCAAATTTCTGGGTATAGTAATAGTATACTGAAACAAGGGGCAAATCTTGGAATATAAAACATGAACCCCTCACCAAATTCAAATATTAAAATCAAGAAACAAACAAATCATCATAAATATATTAATTTAAAAAAAAAAAAAAAAAACTTTAAAAATTGGAATAGAATAACTAAATCAAGAACAATCACCTCAGGATGGTATCTGATTCCTCCTTTCATGGGCCCACGAGCATTATCATGCTGCACTCTAAATCCAACAAAGGACACCAGAGTTCCATCATCCTTTGGAATTGTGCACTCCACCTGATCAAACACCATCATTATCAGACTTTGTCTCTATTGCTAAACCATCAATAAAAAAAAAAAAAAAAAAAAAAAAAAAATCATTGGTTCCTGGACAGTAGATTGTGGCCCTGCACTATAGGCACACGGGCACTGGTCCTTCCAGATAATGACTTGCTGAATCATAGTGATTTAGTATTATTGGTGTGGGGCTAGGGGTGAGGGAATTTTTGTGTACAAGCAATAAAAAACGTTAAAAGAGGCCTTAATATAATCAAAAGATCTCAACTTTTCCTAATTTCCCCTTTGGGTTCGATGAACAGATTCAGACAAAAAAAAAAAAAATCATTACTTTTCGAGCTTTTCCCAATAAAAAGGCACTCGATACTCAATACCCAATACCCAAAAGCTCAATCGAATTGATTAAAGTATCCAAAACAAACACGCAAAACCAATCACACAGTACAATAATCCGAAACATGTTACCTTAATTTCTCTGAAGGGGATGAGGAGACTCTTCTCGATCTTGGAGTCCAGACCAAGAATGCGGGCCGCCTGGCGAAAGTTACGGGTGGTGGCTGCAAGGGCGTTCATGGCAGGCAAATCTCCGAGGAAAATTAACGAAAAGGGAAAGACAAAAACAGCAGATCAAAATAGTCCCAGCCTCCAAGGAAACAGGACGATACAACAAGCAACTGTGATCTATGAATTGCAGACAAGCAATGTTATATATATATGGAGAAATAAAGAAGCAAAGATTGTAAAATATGTTAGGTCTGACGGGGCAGTGACAGAGTTAGATTTCAACAATCTGAATTTGGTCTTTAAGGCGTCGGCGGATATAGGTACGCGGCGACTGGTGGATAATTTCTTGTCGTAGACAATGACGCGGCGACTCGTTGGAAAGAAATAATTATTGAGGGAAATAATTGTAATTTCATTGGGAAAAGAATAAGGTTAGAATAAAATATGAATCAATTCAAATTATGTTATTTGGTAGTGAATAATATAATTATTAGAATTAAGAAGGAAAAAAAATAATATAAAGATTAAAATATTCTTTTGTAATAATAAAAGTAATAACAATTAAGAATAATAGTGTTATTTTATCTATTGTTTTTTTTTTCTACAACTATTAAATTACAATTTCCTCTAACAAAATATTGTAATTAGAATGACCAAAGAATTATGGTGGAATTGCAACGTATTTCCCGTCTGCAAAACAACTCATGAATTTTTATGTATATGTATATATATCGTTGCATTTCTTAAAAAAAAATGTATATATTGTTGCAACTCAGAAAGATCCTTTTTTTTTTTTTTTTTTTGGAATGGAACATGATTTTCTTACAAGGAAATCACGATTCAATTTTTGTCAACACTCTTTTAGTGGAGCCTGTCACACAAGGTCTTCCTATTATGATTTATATCTCTTGTGTGATTTGTGTGTTATTACATAGAAGCGAAATTTATTCAATACACACTATCAGATAGTGTCAACAAATTTTTCTGATCCCAAAAAAAATTATAGTATTTTCAAGTGGGGTGAAATTATGAGATAAGATAATGAATGTAACATTACTATTTCCTTTAATTAATATGTGGAAAACATATAAAAGTAAATTATTTTTTTTTCTATGACCTTTACTATTTAATGTGTGTTTGGTTTGCATATGGGAATCGGAATCGGAATGGGTATCAAAAATTTGGTAATAGTAATGGATTTTGGTGAAAGTATACATGTTTGGTAGTAGGGTGGAATGAGAATGATTACTAATAGTAGTGCTTGAGAATAAATAAGGGAATAAAACTCTTATTTTATTTGGATATGAGTTTTTCAATTGATGGGGTATTCGAAACTCATAGAAGTGTTCTAAATACCTATCAACCAAACAATAACAATTACTTTCATACGCATTCCTATTGGCAAAACCCATCAACTGAACACACCCCAGAAATTTCCAAACTAATTTTATTTAATTAAACATTGTTTTCATATTGGGGAGAAAATTTATAATATAGTATCGCTCTGCAGATACTAGTCTCTATTATATTTAACTAGTATTTGTCCCGTGCGATGCACGGAAAATATGTTATAAAAATATACTCTATATGAGGTTTATTCATATATAAAATTTTTGTTATTTAGTAATTATTATGTGTGAATTCCTATGATAAATTATGAACATAAATATATTTACAATTAAAATAATATTTAAGGTGGGTGATTACTGCAAATCTTAAACTATATTAAAAATTTAGTACATAATATTTAATATTACAAATTTTTAAGAACTTAGTAAACTACGATAGTAATTGAATTACAATTTTAGAGTCACCACAGATCAAAATTTTTAGACCTTTGAGATTTCTAACTCTAGATGTAGCAACATACAATTGACCTTTAAAGACCAAACAATCACAATCTTAGTTGGAACATTGATTTTTTCTTCCAAATACTATCGAATTAAGTGTGTAATCAATAAAAGATGAGAACTAATAATTCGAGAATATAATCTTAATGTTACTAAGCCTACTTCACGTCAATTAAGTTGGAGAGTGTTGTTGGATAGTATCCGATGAATCCATGAATAACGCATCTTTGTCTCCGTAGTCCTCGATATGCACATCAACAATCTTAAATATTAGGCCGCCTAGCTATGCTATATATTAATTTCAAACTTATGGACTTTGGGGTTACACGTGTGGTATGCATGCATCTTCTTAAAGCCATATGGTCTTGCGAAAATTAAATATTGTTAATACCAACATTTAACTATTAATATTAACATTTAATTTTCACAAGACCATATGACTTTATTATAATTAAGATGAGTTTAAAATATATATATATATATATATATATATATATATCTGCAATAATAATAATTAATACTTAAATTCATTTTGTTGGCAAAACTATTTAAGTAGGAACATTCAATGAATGTATGTATATAGACATAGTATCTCTTTTAAATTCAGATAAAGTTTAATTTAATAAAAACGACAACTCAAAATGGGGTAAACCAAATTTAGTTAAAATATAATTAATATTAACACGATAGAATCGTAACTTGTAAATATATGAAAAATAATACGGAGTAATAAATTGTAAAATATTTATCTATTATTATATAATAATAATAAAGTAACGCATAAAAACATATAACATCAAACTTCTTATAAAATTTCATAGGAAAAAAAAAAAAAAAAACTTGAAATATTGTACCTCTCAGAATAAGAGAATGTGGCACAAAATCTTTGGTGGTGTCATAAAAGTGAAAGGGAATACTTTGAGTGAATGGTTATTAAAAATTGGAATGGGAGTCGGTGAAAAGGAATCACCAAAAGGTATCGAAAAAGTGCAGAGATGTTGTTATCATCTTGGAAACTTTTACATCCACCTCTCACATGGTACCGATACTCTTTGTTGGAGTTATCGAAAAATACTGATTTCTTCTTTTTTTTTTTTTTTTTTTTTCAAAAGGTTGAATCCCTAATTCTAAACTCAATTATTCAACAAAGTCAAATATATGTTTGCATAAAGAATTTGTTTATTCTAGACATAATTTTCATATTGTCGCTATCGAAATTCAAATTTTGATATCTTCTCTCAAATATTGCCTGCTAAACTAGTGAGTTTCCAAATAGTGTCTACTGAACTAGTGAGCTAAGCTCTACGCCAAAAAAAAAAAGTGCCAATTTCTCTTATTACTTTCACATTCAAATTTTAAAGTATTCGAAAGAAGGATTATATGATAAATGATTAAATATTTTAACATTCAAGTTATATGTATCCATTGGAATGGGTTCTTTGTGCACAGAAGTGTACAATTTAGTGTTGAGTTCTGAAATTAACATGAAAAAGGATTTATGAGGTCCAGGATATAGAACTCAACTTGTTAATTTGAATTTTGATGCAAGGAGAAAAAGGAAAGTCAAATTATAAATAAATTGAAATACATATATTGAAGAGAGAAAGGAACGTTAAACTTGGAATACATTGAATGAAGACAGCAATTGTATTAATTTTGTTTTTCTTGGACGTTAACTACATATATTAAGGAGGAGAAGACAAGGCAGGCAGTCTAAGGACGTCTTTTGAAGATTGCAGTCAAAGTTAGTTGTTTCCAAGGTGACAGGGGCTGGCGTGGCGAATAGCCGCATCTCATCCATAATCTTATCTTCATTCCAGATTAGAGCAAAGAGAGATGAAAACAACAAATCTCCCTTACCAACCCCTTCACCTATCCTGAATCTTACAAACCCCTAAAATTGTTCATCTGGGACTCTATATAACTACAAGTCTATAACCTGAAACTAAGATGGATAGCAATGGCCATTTTCACTGTATGAAAAACTGCATGCGTGGGCCTGCAGGCTGCAGGCCCGCAACTCCAATGGTTTGGCAGCAAGGGAACACGATTTCTACAACCTGCAAAGTGTTTCATGCCAATTAGATTAGAGAGCTGTAGAGAGTATAAGATTTGATCCTAAAACAAACAAGCATTTTTGCATAAACCGTCAAAACCAGGAGAAAATATGCATCTAGTTCCACATTTTTGGATAGACCGAGAGAACTCATCCTCAATTCTAACCATTGTCATGCATTCAAAAATCAAATAAGGAGAAAGTACATTTTTTGTTTTTGTTTTTGGGGTTGTAAAGAATCACAAATTGAATTTCAGTGGTGAGCAGATGAATGAATGCAACTTAATTTCAACTAGGAATGTTATGTTGCTTCTCAGAAAAGGGTCAAAAGCAAGAACCATATTAAGAAAAGCCTAAAGTTAAACCAATCAGCACATGCAAGAGAAATTACCATGATATGTATCATCAACGCCAATACTTGTGTCCAGATCAACGGCACTACCCATCTTTCCTGTAAATTTGTGCACGTTAACAACCATTGAATTATTCAGAACACTGTCGACTTCCACTACAAAAGAGAATATAAAGACAGTAGAAACATACTTTCTCTTTCTTCGATCAGCAGCCGGATTCCTTGGATCATTTTTAGCAATAGAAGATCCCGTGGGAATGGCATATTGCATTGGAGAAGGGACAGGACCAGTGGCAGTTGCAGCTGTTGGTGGCAATGGAATGGGTGGAGCAGAAGTTGGTGGTGCACTTTCAGGTTCAGGAAGCGGCCTCGGTAAAATATGCTTCAACCTATTGTTTCGGTAGTTCTTCCAAAAATAGAATTGCTGCCTATGTGCCAATTCCTACATTGTAGAGACATTGAAGATCAGTCCTAATAAAAGATAATAACACAACAGAACTCTAATATGCTTAACATCGTTCACTTGTTCTCTGTTTTTTATTTTTCAGTTTTCCATTTCTCCAGTTTTGTTCATTCTCCATTTCTCTAGTTTTACATTTCATCAATTTTTTTCGTTTCATTTTACAAATTCAACTTTAAGATAAAAATAAATCCAATACAGTAATACTAAATGGGTAAAAGGTAACAAAAGTCAATAAAAATATGTTACTAAATAATTACAACTATTTAAATCATTTCAGTACATAGTTTGATTACAAAACAAAATGGGCAAAACCTACCGGGGAAATAATAATAATAATAATAATAATAACACACGGGGAGAAACATACAAATAAAATAACATTACAAAGAAAGAAAGAAGTGTGTGTGTGGGGTGGGGGTGGGGTGGTGTGAGAAAGAAAGGAGAAGGCAGAAAAAAAGGAAAATGCAGGCTGTTGTGTGCGGAGGGGGAGGGAAAAGGGAAAATGCAGGTGGGGTTCAAACCAGCGACCACTTGGAAATATTACTGTTCAGGCATGTTTTTCCCACTTCTCCATTTGGAGAAGTCCGTTTTTTCAGTTCTCCAAAAACAAAGAAAAAGTGAAGATTGGAGAATTGAGTTTAATAAACAAGTTTGTCCATTTTCCAATTCTCCAATTTCTTGTTTCTCCAGAAAATTCTCCAATACAGTAAAAAGTTGTCATCGAAGGAAAATCCAAAATAATGGCAAACAAAAGTAAAAGGTGGATATTTGAAAGCCATTGACAGAAAACAGCTAAAGTATGATATAATTCATATGAATCTGAGTAATTAGCCATTAAATACCTATGCACCATCTATTAGGTTCGACCCAATCAAAAGTTAGAGTTCCAAAAATGAGAGATAAAGACAGAATCAAATTTATAAAGAAACACATCAAACATCAGTCACATACCATTGTTGGAATCATAATTTATTTTTAAAGACTAACTCAACAAGAGAAGAATTGAAGAGACGTAAATATGACCCACCGCTCATCCCCAACAAGCCTGCCATAATTTTTTCATAGTACTCTATGATTTATGTGTTTTCACTTCTAAGTATACAGGATTGCCTTGTGTCCAATTGGAGCATATTAAATGGAAACTTGGTGTGTTTCTAAAGAGCCGCTGACCCACCAATTGATAAAGACGCAATGAAGTATAAATCTCTTTGTAAATAATACAGAGTAATTCATGTCCTTTACAATGTTTCTCATTATAGGTTGTAAAAAGTACGGCAATGAGCTTTAGAGCATGTGAAAGCATTGCACGAACTAGAAAAATCCTACCTTGTTGGCAGGATGTGCCATTGCATTCCGAAATGTGGGACTTTGAAGCATTTCAAGAAAAAAGAGACAATGTGGGTACCTAACAAGAATCAATTAGGTGGAAATAAGCGATACTCATTTGATCAAATATGTGATATATCCACCAAATAATCACAGTAGAAATGAAAAGAATACTAAAAATGAAAAAAAAAAAAAACAAAAAAAAACAAAAAAAAAACAAAAAAACACAAACACAATATACCCAACGGGACAATTAGTTGGACCAAATCTGTAGCAGCAATTAAATATTAAAACTCACATTATAAACTTTATGTACTCGGGGCGTTGCCAGTACTGGAGGTATTTCAGATATCCAATAAATGCTTCGTCTTCAAAATATCGATTCTGGGCCAAATCTGTATAACCAACTCAACATTAAATACAAAAACAAAGATTTACTAAAAGAACTACTTTTGTTTTTGTTCCTAATTACCAAAACCATAAACTTAGCCCTCTGAATTTAGAGCAAAATTCAAACTTTTATAAATATAATTCCGTGCCACAAACAATAATTCGACTTCTTCATCACACCAGCATAAGAGCAGCTACAAATCATACAAATAGGGATGGCAATTTCAATCCACCCAGCAGATATCTACCCAAATCCACCCTGCATGGATCAGGGTTTTTTGGGGGTGATAGTGGCTTGTGGGTTGGGGTGGGTCCTAAAAAATATGGCCGGATTGGATGTGGGTTTGATATACAAAACACGCCATATATATATAATTAATATATTAAAATAAGTATTAATATGTAGTTAATTTTAAAAGTTTTTATAACTATAACTAACTTTTTACTATTTGTAGTTCTAAACTAATAAGTTTATTTCAAAAAAATTAATAATTTAATTATTATATTTGAATATTTCTATTATTTTATGTTTCAATATAACTAGTGAATTTTATTATTAAGGGCCGGGTGAGTGGAGAAAGTATCAATTGTTATGCCGTGGAACCGTGTCCACCTTGTATGTTCATAATTACTGAACTCTGTGTTCATAATTATAAAACTCTATGTTCATAATTTTTGAACTTCATATTCACAATTATTGAACTCTATATTCACAATTACAAAACTCTATATTCATAATTATAAAACTCTATGTTCATAATTTTTGAACTTCATATTCACAATTATTGAACTCTATATTCACAATTAAAGAACTCTACGTTCATAATTATAGAACTCTATGTTCATAATTATAGACTCTATGTTCATAATTTTTGAACTCTATGTTCACAATTATGACAGTTTTGGAACCGTGTCAACCTTACACGGTTCCACAGCATAATTTGCCAGAAAGTATATGGTGGATTGAATGATGGGTGTAGCCATCCCCATTACCATCCCTAATAACTAATTAGCAAGTACTCCGTTGTTAAGTCTAATCACACATAGAGAAATAAGCATACAGTGTTGTTAAGTCTAATCACACATAGAGAAATAAGCATACAGTGAATGTAGATAGGGTTGGCGAGACACTGAACGAATTCCAATTCAAGCAAGAATCGTTGGCGGCCATCATCTGGATCTTTGTATACGCTTTTTGGCCTGAAATTTCAGTATAACAAAATTTGCACAGCATTAGAGATAGAGAAACAACACCAAGGAGGGATTTTGAGCGAGAAGAGAAGCTTACGGGGACGAAGAAACATTAGCGGACAATTCATCAGATTCTGAATTGGAAAGTAAAGCCATATCTGTGTATCAATCGAGCAGAAAGAAACCCTAGAACCAATTGTTAGAGAAAGCAAAGGAGCTCAATTGGATTTCACTCTTTTCGTCCCAAAACAAATTATAAACTATCCGGCAATTTTTATCGAGCACCAGGCGCTGCGCCCGGGTGCAAAACAACATATATATGTAAATTCTAGTATACCATTATATATATTTTTGAAACATAAAAGTTTTTTAAAAAAATTAACATAAACACACCAGGATTATGTGGCTCAATGGTACCCGGGTAACCGGGTTGGACTTTCATTTAAAATGCTGTGAGTTTGAGCCTCCAATATTACATTATAATAGAGTTAGTAGCATTCAAAAAAAAAAAATGTACATAATTTTATAACAAAATACACATACTATTTTTTGAAAAGATAATACACATAATATATAATATACATAAACTCTTAATATAATACGCATAAATTTCCTGTTTTGAATGTACATAATTGTATAAAAAAAATACATAATTGTATAAAAAAAATGTACATAATTGCATAAAAAAATATACATAATTATATAAAGAATGTACATAATTGTATACTAAAATGTACATAATCGAGTCAACTTCCTATACAACTTAACAAAACGACGTTATTTTGGGAGGCGCGTGGCGCACAGTGCTATGTGCGCCGTGATGCAAGGTATAACGATTGCTGGCCGCAAATTATGCCGTGCAACCGTGTGCATCAAGTATGGTTCACTAGGTTGCAAAACGACGTTGTTTTGATTAAAAATTACGCGTCTGATTTAAAAAAAAAAAAAAAATCGATTGCCGTTAACGGCGTTATACTGTGCATAATTTGAATTATATATCCAGAATTAATGAATTATATATCAAAATTAGCGAACTATATATCTAGAATTAGTGAAATATTTATCCAGAATGAAATGAACTATATATCCATAATGAATTAACTATATATCCAGAATGAATGAACTATAAATTTAGAATCGATAAGGTCAATTATGAATGTGTAGTTATTAATTTCTGAATGTACTGTTGTCAAATTATGAATATATTATTATGAAACTACGAATATATAGTTATGTAATTCTGGACATATAGTTATAAAGTTATGGATATATCTTACTGTTTGAATTAAAAAAAAAAAAAAAAAAAAAAAAAAAAAAACCGCCTAATGCCGTTAACGACAATCCAAACGAATTTTTATAAATGGAATGGCGTTGTTTTGCAACCGTATGCATGCATGGGGCACACGATTGCACAACATAACGATTGCACACTGGCAGAATTAAATTCAAGAGGTGGCAAAATTAAATGAATTATACTAAATGTACTTCCTCAATTTTATGTTTTGATGTGACGGTAAATGAGTTATACTACATGTACTTCCTCAATTTTACATTTTTATGTGATAGCTAGTTATTTTTTATCCGTGGGAGTAAAAGTTGAGAGTAGAAAATAAAAAATATATATATAATATTTCTCAAAGTGGTGCTTTTTATGCACGGACGACGGGTTGTGATTATGGAAGGCCTCAAGTGAGAGGCATTTAGAAAAGAATGGAGGCTAATTAAAAATTATTTTAATTATTATTTTTATTATATTATTTCAGTGTGCTGTTAACATTCAAATTTCTAATTAATACTTTAATGCATTTTCAAGATTAAATGAGACGATGATGTGGTGTATGTTCCTTTCGTTTTTTCCAACATGTAATTCGTTTGCATTACTTGCATATATTCCTTTCGTTTATTCCAACAAGTATTTTATACTGTCTAATGTAGTATACTGGATGTTGTGATGGGCGTTTTAGGTTGAGTATTATGTGCTTCTTTTGGTGTGTGGATATTAAACTTAATATTTTTTTTCATATTATATGTATAATATTTGTATTCGAGACCCAAGAATATTGGAGTTTGAATTTAAGTTGGATTCCTTGTTACAAGAGTGTAGAGTTTGGTATCATGTCTCGAATGAGTAAATTCCATTTTTAGTCCTCGATTATTGTGTCATTGTCACATTTAGTCCTAATTTTTTAATTTTGTCATATTGTATCATTGACTTTAATTTGATTGCCACTATTGGACCTCCATTAAAATTTCCGTCAATCTACCGTTAACTATAAGGTTAATAACGTAATTTAACAACTTGTCTCAAATACAAATTAAAACCCATCTTTTTTATTATATTTCTTCTCTCAAAACTCTCTTTGTGCTCATTTAAAAAGAATCAAAATCTCCATAAAATCTATTCTATGATCTCGGCTCGCAAGGTTGTATCAAATCTTATTGCTATGTATGTTTTGTTAATCTGTGAATTGAATTAATTGTATTAACATAATAATGTGTTAGGATTTTTGTTCTCCATATTTCGAATACATTAGAATTGACAAGTAACAAGGGAGAAAAAATTGTTTCTTATATTAAATCTATAACATTCCAAACAAATTATTAAATTACATTAACCTTATAGTTAAGGGTAGGTTAACGGAAATTTTAACGGAGGATCACTAGTAGCAATCACATTAAAGTCAGGGATGTAATATAGCAAAATTAAAAAATTAGGACTAAATGTGGCAAAGCAACAATAGTCGAGGACTAAAATGGAATATACTCTGTCTCAAAATTAGAATGACTTGATTTACCTCTTCACAAGCCCGATCACAAGTTTATAAAGTCCGGGATGGAATCGAAAAAAACCTGAGTTATCAAAAAAAAACTTAAAGTAAAATATAAGAGCTATACACACATTTACAAATAAATATTAAATATTTAAAAGTAAATAAATAAAAATTTAGATATTTTTATGTAAAATCCTTAAATAATAATTTATTATTCTAATCTTACCTTCAGCATCACTGCTGCAACTCATTTGTCTCACAACTCTAACCTGACTGCAACAGCGGCAACCCTGCAATCTCAGCCCGCTCCTAAAAGGAGAATTTGTTGCCTCTGTTGGGTACTTGGATCAGTGATGAACTGCAAGTTAAATATTCTGAAACAAACAATATTGTTATTCCTGATACACATGCTTGGAATAACATTTACAGGAGCACTAGATTTTGTGTAACCTGGAAGAAAAACTCATCAAATTACAAGAGTCGTACAGGAATATTCATCAATTTGCCCGTGCACTGCAGCCTAATTGCACGTTATAAATGAACAAGTTTATAAAGACATATTCATCAATCATCAGCGCAACACACTTGTTTTTAGAAACACTGCAGATTAAGTTGGCCATTTAGCCGTACATTTGAGGTTACAAGTTATCACCAACATCCCTCTCAACATCATTTCAAAGAAGGGAAAGAGAACCCGTGGAATAGGAATTCTTTTTATGCAACTGAGGGCAGGTGGCACAGTAACTACCCAAGTAATATCATCAGTAGGGCCTGTAGCGGACTGGGCCCCGCCTGAACCTTGGAACCCTCCTGCAGAAGAGAATAATTATTAACTAATAAAGTAATAATCCTCCCACATTCCGTGCAATCATCAGACGACTACACAGTAAGTCAGTAGACCATGAAATAGACAAAGGCATTCAAATTCAAACATATTGCGGAAGAAGTCATTCCTTATTAAAATATATGGGGTAAAGAAATTCTGACATCAACAAACTTGGTCATATAATGGAAAAGAAATAAGAAAATGAGTGCACACAAACATGCAAAACTGAAGCTGGTAGTTGGTTCACTAGGGGGAAGTAGTTAAGCAAAGTATGATATTCCCTGTTCAATCAGCTGATATTCTCATCAAGAATTTATTGGGCAATCAAAGAGTCATATGAACTTGATCCTCACAATTGCCTTGAAAATCCCTGAAGTCCTGAACTAGAGCAAAGTAATATCTCATACAACCCCTCAACCCAGAGTACAAAACAAGAGCCTTTAGCATTCACCACTAAGACAACATTTTCAAAGATCCCCAGCAAAAAAAAAAAAAAAAAAAAAAAAAAAATTATTGCTTGTATGGTAACCAACTAAACTGTGCAGGAGCAACCACTAGAAAATTGCATTGTACCAGGAAAAAAATTTCATCAAGAAGACTAGAGAAATCATGCACAATTGGGACTCACCCAGAAGAAAAAGGAGGGAAGACCGCTCCACCTGGCACAAATGGCCTGCGTGATCGGAACCCTGCATAGGGATTGAAGCGTCTACCTCGAAATTGCTTCATGCCAGGAACATTGGTTCGCTTGGCTGACACCTATCAACACCCAAAATTAACACTTACAGAAAGTCACATAAGAAACAGTCACCAGCTTAATGCAAGAGAACTTTAAAGACCTTCAATTGACGGCCATGTAGCTCTGATTCATTTAGCAACAGTGCATTTTGAATAGCCTCAACTTCAACAAATTCCACATAAGCATATCCTTTAGGCTGGCCAAATTTATCTGTTAAAATAGTCACACGGTTCACTGTGCCACAAGACTGAAAATGCTGCTGCACTTCCTCTGGTGTGCAGGCATAGTCCACCTGAAGTTCAAAAGAGTGAATGAGAAAAATGATTACAGCATAAAAGGTAAAGCACCCCACCTTTGGACCAAAATACACAACTTATTTTCAATTGACATATATTTACATCTGATCTAGGCCCAATAAACTTGTATCATTGAAACCAATAGTTAGTGTAACTCTTTAAGACACATAGAACAAATATTGTGAAATTCTTTTGTTAGATGTATTTATTTATTTATTCATTTTCATGTTTTTACCTGTGGAGTGTGAATGCACGATGTAACCGATGTTAAGACTTTTTCCCCCTTCCTCCCTATCCTAGTCCCTTATGTCACCCAACAAATAATAGAGCAGAGACTTCAGGCAGAGTAATACAGTGTTAGCACATCAAGAAATAGCTCTGCACTCCAAAATGAACAGAGCTTTTTGAGCCCAGAATGACTGCTTGACCGAGTCTCCTCATTAATTATAAGTATGAAAAAGCTCAAGAATTCTGGTTACCCTCAAAATATACCACTTATTAATTCAAATGTTATGGCCCCATTAAAATTTCTTCTTAATCTCCTTAATAGGTTGAGTTCAGTCAAATAAGAAGACATACTCTTTGGATTAACTAATAAGTAATAATAGGTTCCAATATTAGGAAACATAGGATAAAACGATTTGTAGTTTAGTATTGCATCACTCACAACGATAGATAATAATGAAAAAAGTTTCAGAAGGTTTTAAACCTCACATTACCAACATAGATTGAACGGGCATCCACCTCCTCCTTCTCAGCCTGACTGGCAGAAGCAGCATTTGGATCTTCAAACATGTCCATTCACATAGAAAGAATAAACAGATTAAAAGCAAATCAGACATCAAAAGTTCAGTGCTAGGTATTGGGGATAAGGAAATGAAGAATTACTCCCCCCACCCCCATGCGGCCCCAGCAAGTGCATTGTTTTTTGTTCCTTAAAAGGCATCTCTGCTGATAACAATAACTTCAACTATCAAATTTCCTATTTGGAGAACTTATTTCCTAATTCCCAATTTATTCTAATTTTGGTTTTCTCGTTCTCTTATTCGCAATGTACGGCCCAAAGATGTGAGTGACAAAAGAGATGGCCATTTCTTATTCTATCCTCATCTCTTGCATTTCATAACTCTTGGCAACTTGCACTATCATCAACCAAAATGAGCCGATCTAAATTCAGGTCACAAAGCATTTATAGATACAAGATAGATTCCAATCCCCACATTTAGAGCATCCTAGAAGCTCCAGTTCTCAAAATGGAAATCCCTTGGGGTACTAATTAATTAATTTGCCAAAGTAGTGGAGCTTCAGTTTAATTCATCCTATTGAAATCCAAACTATGATACAGAAGCATTCGTCAGTACCAAGAAACTACAAACAGAATGAACATTAACTAAACAATGCAAGGAGCAGAAAGACAAGTCTGATTCAATCTACACACAAAGACACATACTGTACTGGTTGAAATGTTCAATTTGTATTGAAATGAGCTAAACCTTGAACACCGGTCATTTCTTTCTCGACTTTGGCCTGCATTTCGCGCAAGGCACCTGCTTCCTCCTCAATCTCCTTCAGCCGCTTCTTCATGTTCTCCAAATCCTGCTGAACCTCACCACCAACACCATTAAAGCCAAGCACTAGCCTGTTTACACACAGAAAACCAACAGAGAGAGAAAGTAACGGAAACGAACTTTAGCATTAGGATCTTCCTGAGCTTCGGCTTCAGCGAGAGCTGCCATGTCGACATCGGCATCCATGTCTCCTTCTTCGGGAAATTCTCCTCCGTAAACATCTTCTTCCTGCTCCGGATTCTCCATTCTCTATCTATATATATTGACTAGTATTCACAATTGAGTTCCACCGAATATGCTTCGGAGATGTAGATATGCGCGTATATGTACAGAAATGGAGGCAAATTTTGAGCTTTATTTTCTAGGTTTTCGTAAGCTTTGCGCGAGAGAATTGGGGACAGGGAATTGCGCAAGTTGAAACCGTCGGTTTTATATAGTTCGAATTCGGGCCGGTTTTGTTTTTCTTTTTTTGCCATCTTGGGGCTAACTTATTGGGCTGCCCCGAATAATCCGACCCAATCGTTCCTGAATCCTATTTTAAATGGAGTTTGCTATAAATGGGCTAGCCTTCTTTATAGAACAATGTCGTCCCATCATAATCGGATAGTTATGCTGTGGGCTCGTGCCCAGCGTGCTTCATGGGCACGGATAACGGTGCCATCAGGCACCGTTATCTTCCCTCTTTTTTTTTTTTTTTTTTTTAAATTTAATTTCAGACCGCTTCGTTATAGGAGCATATATTCACAGCTTTGTGTTCATAATTTTATAACTGTACATTCATAATTTCATAACTGTACATTCATAATTCCATAACTGTACATTCATAATTCTATAACTGTACATTCATAATTCCGTAACTGTACATTCATAATTCAATAACTGTAAATTCATAATTTTCGAAGCTCTATGTTCATAATTGTAAGTTCATAATGTCAGAGTTCTATGTTCATAATTTCATAACTGTACATTCATAATTCCGTAACTGTACATTCATAATTCCGTAACTGTACATTCATAATTCCATAACTGTACATTCATAATTACATACTGTATATTCATAATTCCATACCGAACATTCATAATTTTCGAAGCTCTATGTTCATAATTGTAAGTTCATAATTCCATAACTATACATTCATAATTCTATAACTGTAAATTCATAATGTCATAACTGTATATTCATAATTTCATAACGAATATGCCGTTAACGCCGTTAACGGCGTTTCGAACAAATTTTTTTTATAGTTAAAACAGTGAAAACGACGCCGTTTTAGCGCCGTGCGCATAGCATAATTTGCCATCATAATCATATGCTCCATTAGCTAACTTCCATGTAGTGAGCAATTTATATCATGAACCAGGGGTTCACGTATAGAAATGGCAATGAGGCGGGATCAGATGCTATGGGCAAATTATGCTGTCCATCCGAATGCAAAAATGACGTCGTTTTAATAAAACGCGCGTCTCCCCTTAAAAAAAAAAAAATCAGGTTCGATTCCCAGCAACAACATATGAACTAAAATTCCATAATCGATGAACTATAATTCCATAATCTAATCTATGAACTAAAAATTCCAGAATGAATGAACTAAAATTCCATAATCTATAAACTAAAATTTCAGAATTGATGAACTACAATTTCATAATCGATGAACTATAATTCCATAATCAATGAACTATAATTCCATAATTTATGAACTAAAATTCCAGAATGAATGAACAATATAATGTTGTTGCTGGGAATCGAACCTGAATTTTTTTTAAAGGGAAAACACGCGTTTTTTAATAAAACGACGTCGTTTTGGCATCCGTATGCACCATGCATGGTGCATACGGATGCACAGCATAACGATTGGACGTTATGCCATGGAACCGTGTTCACCATTCATGGTGAACACGGTTCCAACGGTGTTAGTACACCGTTATCTTTTTTTCTTTATCTTTTTTTTTTCTTAATTAATTGTGTGACTTTTTTTCTTTATTTTCACATTTTGCGGTTTCACTTTAATTTGAGGTGAACAAAGATTTCGGACATTCATAAATTATGAATTCATGCGTGCACATTCACTTTGGAACCATGCCTACACATTCCCGTCCGAAATTACGGACATTCATAAATTATGAATCCATGCCTGCACATTCACTTTGGAACCATGCCTACACATTCACTTTGGAACCATGAGATTATGAATTTTCTGTTATAAGATTATGAATTTTCAGTTATGAGATTATTAATTTTCTGTTATGCGATTATGAATTTTCTGTTATGAGATTATGAATTTTCATTACATTCATAATTTCGGACATTCATAAATTATGAATTCATGCCTGCACATTCACTTTGGAACCATGCCTACATATTCCCGTCCGAAATCACGGACATTCATAAATTATGAATCCATGCCTGCACATTCACTTTGGAACCATGCCTACACATTCACTTTGGAACCATGAGATTATGAATTTTCTGTTATAAGATTATGAATTTTCTGTTATGAGATTATGAATTTTCAGTTGTGAGATTATGAATTTTCTGTTATGAGATTATGAATTTTTATAAAATTCATAATCTCATAACAGAAAATTCATAATTTGATCAAACGCGCGCCGTTAACTCCACATCCATGAATTTTTTTTTTTTGCCTAAAAACGACGTCGTTTTTGCCTTGTGTTCACCATTCTCGGTGAACACGATTCCATGGCATAATTTGCGAGGCGGGATGAGTGCGGATCGGAGGATATATCTCCCGCTTTTGCACCCACATTCTCAACTCACTATCGCACACGCGCGGGTAATAAAATTTCTACCTCATAGTCGCTTCCGCAGAGATTTTGCGAGTGTGAGTAATACTCAACCCGTAATTCTAATTCTAATTATTAATATTACATTTAAATCTAATAAAAAGTTTATACTTCAATTCTAATCATCACATAGATTTTTTTTATATGTTTGAACATAACTCTAAAATGTAATAAGAATCAATGAAGTTAGTTCTTAATTTGAACTAAAATTGTGTTGGTAGTATAAATTGTATATTAAGTGTTTACTCATGATGCTATTTGTGTTGTTCCTATTCAATTTTCATAAACAAAAAACCTAAGACAATGAGATGATAATCCTATTCATTATGCATTTTTAATTATAAAATATACATAAACTTATATATATATATATATATATATATATATATATATATATAGAGAGAGAGAGAGAGAGAGAGAGAAAGAGAGAAAGAGGCGGGTTCAGGTGCGGCAGTGTCTTACGGTGCGGCAACACCAATAATTCAACAAATATGCACCATCAACATTAGGAAAATACACCACAAAAAACAGAGTAAACAGAGCCCTGCATCACCAAACACACACCATTAGGTGTGAGTAAAAACACCATACACTGTTCAGAAATACACCATTGGGGGTGGTGAGTTATATGGTGTATTTTTTGAGTCTGTTGTGTATTCTGTGATGTTTTATTGCATTTCATTGTGGTGTGTTTTTTTAACACTGTTGGTGCATATTGTTAATACTGTTGGTGTATTCTGAAATTCCGCCGCACCGCCGCACGGAAAGACCCCGCCGCATTTGAACTTTATTATATATATATATATATCATACCCACGCTGGTATACAAAATTCCCCCAATACCCTCACCCATTACCACCTATTCACGTAATATTATGAATCCTAAATATAAATAACTAGCTAGGTATGAAATTTTATAACACAAAATACAAAAATTACAACACAAAACACATAACATTATAGACATTAGATTAAAATAAGGTACATAATTTATAGTCATAAGGTACAAAAATTCATATCACAATTTATACTTATAATTCAGAATAATAGTCTTAATACAATAAAAACTACATATAAAGTCTCCTTTTAATCTTTAATTATATCGAAAAATCATACTACGAAACATTTATACTACACACATATCAGTACAGGCATTATATATATATAGCACATGCATCAGTGTCTCCATGAATCCTTGCAGCGATAGTGCGGCGACCAACGAAACACCGCCGTCTGGTTCGCATCGCCGGCGAAGCTTTTAAACCTCTGCCAGTCGTGAATCACCGCCGTCAAATCAGCTAGCTTGGCGGTTATAGTCCGGCAACAGTTCGCATGCACCGTCACGACGGACTTAACGTCGCGACTAACCTGGCAAAATCCGTTGAAGAATTGAGTGTTCAGGAACTTCACTTTCAGCCCTAGCTCTGCGACCACGCCTTGGCTAATTAACTGGTTCAACATGTCCTGCTCTTTCTTTCCATTCGACGAGTTTTTCAGTCCGTACCAGGAATCGAACAACGCGATGGTTCTTTTGTTGGATCGGACCATATAGAAGCCGGTGTTGATCGGGTTTGATTCCGACCGATCATCGCCGTTGAAGAGATCTGTACTGATTTGAAGGTCTAGGGTTTCGTTTAGGTCACTTAATCTGGGGAATGGATTTCTTAGCCATAATACATCAGTGTCCTGCACTCACATAAAATGGAATATATTTGGTAAGTTTTATGTGATGATAACGGGTGAACATACTATCAAGTATCAAAGTATATTTTACTAATTAAAGTCATAAATTCTCATAATTATGCCACATAAATTTAGGAAAGTAACTCCCACACTAATAAAGCCCTCCATTATTAGGAAACAAATTTAAAAGTCATGTAGCATTTCTCCATAACCGCCCTTTTGCCTAACAAGGCTGAACGGCTGTTACAATTTGTGAAGGATTGCACTGTAAATACTATATGATTGCACTGTTACAATTCTCACTGAGGGACCTGACCTAAATCTTGAAGAGCAATCCTTCACAAGTTTACAGTCTCCTAGGCCTATTTGATGAATTAGTTCTCATAATTATCAATTTCAAATAAGAAGCAAAGAAAACGTACAAATATATTCTTAAAAAAAAAAAAAAAAAAAAAAAAAAAAAAAAAAAAAACCAAACATACCGTAAATATAAAGGAGTAACCGAGTTTAAGAACGTCACCCAAGAATTGAGTTCTTCTCCACATCATCTTTAAGAAGTCCGGCGACATAAACACCTTCTCTCCGACGAAATCGACGCCGTCCGTTCCGAGCTTGTAGCAATGAAGCCCGAAGAACGTGCAACGCTCGTACGACGTTTGGTCGACGGCGACGATCAGCAAGTGTTTGACCAACGCCCTTGTATCTTCCCCTACCCAGAACCCCTCCAAGAACAGATCCAACATCGACTTGTCGCCGTCCACGTACGCTTTATTCACCACCGCGATTATCACCGTCTTATTCTCCGTCGACGCTCCGGCTAACGCCTCCTCCAGCTTATCTCTATACATCTTCAGTCTATGCTTTTCCTATAATTAAGTATATAATCAAATATCAAAACGTCATCATTCTTCACTAAATTCAGATATAAAGGCCAGGAACATGAAAACAACAAAATATAAATGAAAATGACACTTTTTGCCCACACAAGTATCTAAGTTGGCTATGGGTGGTCAGATTGTGAACAAAGCCGCAGAATTCAGTTCTCGAAGTGTCTAAGTTTTACCCTCTTTATGGACACTAGACATTAGTCCTTCCACTGATAGACTACTAAATCAGCGTGATTTACCGTGTTCGAGGTGAAAGATTTCACATTTTATGGACAACAAATTCGTCTTTAGTATTTTTTTCATTGGCTATTTCACTTTGCAGACAATTGAGAGATAAAAAGTCGGTATCGAAAATGAGAAAGGTAAGGGCTTACAGTGGTGGGCGGTGAAGGTTGGCATGGAGGGTTTTGGCTATGGAAGAGATAGGGGGGATTCATGGACTGGTTAGGGTTACTTGAGATGATGAGAATGTAGAAGGCACCAAAGAACAAAAGGGTGTATACAAGATAATGGGAGTAATCTGCAACCGGGAGGATCTTGCCACAGTCCATATCGGTGGCGGTAGACGGCGGCGGAAACGGTGGTTGATCTCGGCGGCGGCTGGGAGATTCTTTGTTTTATGTGATCTTTGATGATCAAATAGATTTGGCCTGGGTTCGGACTTTGTATTATATTTATAGAATTGTATAGTTAATCTCTATTAGATTATATATACAAACAAGATATACAAAAAGTTACTATGGTGCAACGAAATGAGGGACCCTCTTAAATTTTAATTTATTTCCATTTTTTGTCTCCGATTATTAAAATTTGTAGTTTTAGTCTAACGACTTTAAAATATTTGCTATATTTGATTCTCGATTATTAAAATTGAGTAAATTTTGGTCCCACAATTTTTAAACCATTATCACAATTGATCTCTGTAGATTAAAATTTTTAAAATTGACCTCACGACTTTTTAATCTTTGTCACATTTTTTAGTTCCCAACTATTAAAATTTTCATATTTGATCAAGTGATTCTCTAATCCTAAAATTAGCAAGTAATATCCCATCTAATTAAATAATTTATATTTTTGTACAAAATGTTTAGTATTTGTAAATTTAAATTTGTAATATAATTTTATTAACTTATATTTTAATATTATTAAAGTTTGTATATAATATTTGTATTCTATAATCATAATATCATTAATTTAACACCATGTATTAACTTATAAATTTGATAAAATATAATAGTTCATAACTTTAGTTAGTCCATTAGGGGAAAAAATAATAAAGTGATTTGGGAGGGAAAAAAAAAGTTTAAGTTAAAAAGTATTAGAAAATTAATTCATTTTTTTGAAAATTTATCATCAATATATATACGGAGTAACTAAAATTCAGGTTGGATGGGCCAAATGTAGCAATGGTTTAAAATTAATGGAACCAAATTTAGAAGTTTTAATAGTTATAGACCAAATTTGACAACAATTTAAAAATTGTTAGACCATCTCTAAAAAATTTAATAATCGTAGATCAAATGTAGAAATGGTCCCGTACTTCGGTACTTGGACCAAAAGTGAAAATAACTCATTATTACTTTATTTTTTTGAGAAGAAAACCACATACTTTTATAAATGCAAAACGTCATTACAAAGAGCTTGGAAAATAAAAGAAGAGCCGGTATCATACCAAAATCGAGTACCCAACACAAGACTAGCGTTTATAACTAAACGATGAACCACCTGATTAACAAAACGCTTAACACAACGACAAAAAGTATTTAAAAACATATCTAAAAGAATACGAATATCGTGAACAATCAAACCAAAACACGTTCGACTCTCCTTTGCAAGCTGATCAATCAGTTGCTTCACATTCGTTTCAATTATAATATCATCATAATCACGATCCTTCAACCAACTCAAAGATTTTCTCACTACCAAATTAAAGCCTCTGCCTCACGCACCAAAGAAGCTACCTCCCTACCTACTGCCCCCCATTATTACTTTATTAAGAGACTTGCCAAGATTAAAAGCTATTAATTAAGTGGGGAGCTTTGTTGAATTGTAACAGTACGTATGTATGAAATTTAATATCATATTTTAAATAATATATATATTTTTTTAAAGAGGGTGATATGATCCAACCATTTTAATCTCTAGACTAGATGTTCTTATTGGAGTTTCTATAATAAAGTTACTTCCTGAAATAGTCTCTTGATTATTGATGCTTACTTTAATTTTTTATTTATGTCTTTCAATTAAATCATAAATAGACTTGACGTACTATTGACTTTTATCAACATCACTAGTTTTTTTACGCGCTTTGCGCGAATGAGATAATGCCCAATAATTATTTTTAAATAAGTATTTCAAAGTATATCAATGCAATATTATATAGGAGATGTTCATGCATAGATAAATAAATGTTGAATTTGTTTATTTAAATCGGTAATTTAAAGTATATAAATGCAAGGTAATATATGAGAGATTGATTATAATTGTCACTAAAATAAATGTTTGCAACTTTGTAATAACGTTAGTTTAAATACTTAGTCTTAAAACGATAGTCTAAATAAATACTACTTTTGGTTTAAATTTCTCTAATTCTTCTTAATTCCCCTTTGGGTAGCATTGTTATTATTTTCATCTTTAGTACATGTCTTTTTATTTTATTGGTAGTGTGTCATATGCAATTAGGTTACTGGTAGCAGCATAGAGGGATTCATCATGCAATAAGATTATGGTGTATGAAGTTTTAGATTTGCCTTGCTGTGTATATGACTGAGATTTTAGTTGTAATATGAACTCTTTAGCGTACAAACACCTATTGATATTTAGTGGTGGTAGTTTTTTCCCTACATGTTTCATATATATATATATATATATATATATATATATATATATATATAAAACATGTTTTGTATTATAACTTTGATATTTAATTACAAGATAATGTAAAAAAAGAAGACAATGAACAATATAGTGAATATAATAAATTAATAATTTGAAAGTAAGAAATCTTTGAATTGTAGAAAGTAAAGATAATATAACTAATGAAATTATATTTCTTTAAAGTTTTTTTAATAAATAAAGCATTATTAACATCTAATTCTAAATTAATTAAATTCATATGTATTATTTTTTGTTGTAGCTACTAATTTATTTAATTAATAAGAGTAATAAAGTGTCGTACATACTTTTCTTCAACAAAAATGAAATCAATGATTTTTTTTTTTAATTTCCATTCCTTGTTTTGACAAATTGTTTTGAGAGTTTGTCTATGTTAATTGCTACAATTACTGTCAATAGAGGATGATAGTAAATAATTCAAAACATATGGTTATAATATATATTAATATAATGATATAGTAAAAATTAACTTACAAATTTCTTTAGAAGTTTTCATGCATTGATAAAATTTTGATGTGTAAACTTGTTCAATTGGAGCTAGTAGGATGTTAACATTGTCAATTATTTTGAAAATGATCCTATCGTTTTTAGAGTCCATGTGTAATTGTATTTATGATCAACAACTTTGTAGTTAGGCCGCGCAGGTCTGACAATGATGTAAGAACAATTTTGTCTGATAAAAAAATAATAGTATAATATTTGTAAAGTAATGTACAATTGTACCATTATAAAAAAAATACAAAAAATATTAATACCATAATGCCCTAAATCATTCCAATAATGCAAAAGCATAATTGAAATATTAAGTTTTGTTCTAAATAATTAGAAGAATATTAATTAAAAAAAAAACTTAACCTAAATTTCTTTTTTTTTTTTTAAATAAAAAAATAAAAAATTCAAAAAAATCAAATGATTTTAAAGTAGTTCCTGATTTATAATCTTTGATGCTCAACTTTGAATGCTATGTATTTAGCCGATCTAATTATTTGACCAAAGTTTATGTTAAATTTTATATTTTATATATATATATATATATATATATATATAATACATTTTAACATATTCATAATATATGTTTAACAATTATGCCAACTATACTTGGGATGAGGTTTGAACCTAAGACCTTATATAAATTAAGAGTATGTTAAGAATAATAAATAGTTAAGGGAATATTCCTTTACTTTACTAAAGTTTAAACTAACAGAATTTAGGATTATTTAAAGGAAGAAAATAATATAATAGATGATAAATAAGGAAAATCATTAAAAGATACTAAAATCAAAATAATATGAACCATTCATTTTAAGAAACAATTAGTACCGACATTTTTTTTTTGTTCCCGTTAAGGGCCTAACATTATTCGCTCTTATTAAATTTGTAGATATATTAACTTTTTAATCTTTGCCACATTTAGTCCCTAACTATTAAAATTTTCAGATTTGGTCGAGTGATTCTCTAATCCCAAAATTAACAACTAATATCTCTTATAATTAAATAATTTGTATTTTTGTACAAAATATTTAGTATTTGTAAATTTAAATTTGTAATATAATTTTAAAATTTTGACTTAGATTTTAACATTATTAAAGTTTGTATATAATATTTGTATTCTACAATCATAATATCATTAATTTAACATCATATATTAACTTATAAAGTTGATAAAATATAACAGTTCATAACTTTAGTTAGTTAGTCCGATCCATTAGGGAAAAAATAAAACAGTGATTTGAGAGGAAAAAATAAGTTTAAGAAAAAAAAGTATTAGAAAATGAACAATTTTACCCTTAAGATAATTCACTTGCCTGAAATTTTATCACCAATATAACTAACATTTGAGTTGAATGGGCCAAATGTATCAATGATTTAAAATTTATGGAACCAAATCTAGAAGTTTTAATAGTTATAGACCAAATGTTATAAAATTTAAAAATTACGGAGTAATAGATCAAATTTGAAAATTTTAATAATTGGAGATCAAATGTAGAAAGTCTTGTACTTATGAGTACCAAAAGTGCAAATAACACATAATCACTTTATTAGGAGACTAACCAACTTGGCATTTAAAAAGCTACCCCGTATTAATTAAGTGGGGAGCATTGTTGAATTGTAACAGTACGAATGTATGAAATTTAATATCATATTTTAAATAAGGTTAATTCCAGCGATCCCTCGTCTTTGGTAACAATTTTAAATTTAGTTTCAGATTATTATTTTTGTCATTTAACATCTCAAAGTATCATATTTTGGGCAAGTTTAATTTTGTCGGTGATTTTTTCGGCGAAAATTTATTTTAGGAAAGGACAATTTGATCTCTTCACTTATTTTTTTTTTCTTTACATTTTTGTTCCATTTGTTTTTTTTTTTTAAATCAAATTCACATATACAATACATGTACATCGTCATAAACCTTTGATAACACTTTACTCTTGACTACATTTCACCCCTTATTTTTGACTCATTTTGTACATAAAGTGCTTTAAGTTAAGTGTGGAATGAGACTTATTAGTGTGATTTGTTACTTAGGTATAATTATTCACAATGAGTAAAGAATGGAGCATTTTGAGGTATTTCCAATCTATTTTGAAGTCAATGAAGTAGTGCAAGCTAGAAAAAATTGAGACTTGGAGCAGCAAGCTAAGGCAATGGAAACAAAAAGAACATGTATGGCCACTGACACGGCCGTGTATATTGCCGTGCCTGAAGAAAATTGGCACGGCCATGCCAATCTGAGGCAATATGCAAGTCATTTTTTATGCGA